TCTGTGCCCTGCTTTGGGGCTGGGCTCACACACACTACTGTCACTCACTGGGCCACCTAGTGTCTGGCAGCAGAGCTGGAGAGATCCCTGAGGCTGTGTTGCCCTCATCGCCTCCTCTGCCTGTCTTGGAACCCTGGCTGGTGGGTCGAAGGGCAGGGGAGGTCCTGAGAGCTGTAGGCTCCCCTCCATGCCCTATGCAGGTTCTAAGCTAATGGTTTCAACTCCATCAGTGTCAGGAAGGGGCTGTGCCTCCTCAGCTGCTCTTAGCCCTCAAAGGACAGATGAGGGGCAAATTCAATGACATGCTTACCCTGCCTTGATGGAGACAACTTTCTCAAGCTTCCAGCTCGTGCATTTGTGTCTCCTCCTGTTTAGAAAGATGAGCTCATCCCAGGGAGGAGGACTGCTCTCTGCCCTCTCGGCAGATTCTCAGCAGGGGAGATGGAAGAACAGGCAGTCAAGGCCTGGGAGGGGGAACTCGTGGGCCTGGTGTGCCCCAGTTGGGGAGTGGTGGTCCCACTGGGCCCAGGGCAGGAGGGAGGAGCTGCCCGATCTCTGCTTTGTGGGGAGTCTCTATGGGTGCATGTCTGCTAGAAGCAGCTTCTATCCAGGGTTATGTCCAGGTTCCTGTCTTCAGCCATGGGGCTCTCATTGGGATGAAGTGGACAGAATAGATGCCCAGAAATCCCCATGTCTGTCCTGCTGTTCCGGGGTCCCCGAACATCTTGGCTAATGTTGTGCATGTTTAATTCTCTGTTGGCTGTGGCTGCTGCCTGCCTAGGAGCTGATAACTAATCCTTCTCAGCAGGTGAGTCACTCTTGGGGCTCTGAACACTCCAACTTTTAACCACTGTCCTGAGCTGCTGCCCTGTACTGGGCCTAAAAGAGAGGGGACGTTCCACCTCCTACCTCATTACCCTTCCATACAGGGTGGCATGGGGGAGGGTCCCCAAAGAGAAAGAAGAAATGTAGGAGAGGGAGGCAGTTCACACAGACCCCAGCAGCAGCAGAGGTGACTGCCTAGTGGAGTGAGCAGAGGGCTCACAGGTCTGTTGTCCTACTTCTGGCCAAAGGTGAGGCCTCCCTGTGGGACTGCACAGGCTGGGCACTGCAGAACTCCAGGTGCATGATTCACGAGATAATGACGCGAATGGTGGCCCCTGGAGTCGCGCCACATAGAGTGTGTGCTTGGAGGGACCTCCCAAAGTAAGAGCAGTGTGCTAGACAGCCTCCTGGCTACCTCATGAGGGGCCTGAGAAGAGAGCGGGGCCGGGTAGACTCTGAGTTATTGGGAATCTGCCTGCTGGAACTCCAGAGGAGAGAGTTCTGCATGGCCCTCTGCCTCTGTTTCTGCGCCTGCGCACTTGCGGATGCCCTCTGCCCTGAGCACATTGGGCTGTGCCTGAAGTCCCCATGAGTCAGGAACTATGAACTTATGGGGCTTGGAACCAACTTCTCATCATAAGCCTGAGGAGGCTCTCTGAGTGGGGTGGTGGGAATGGGGATTGATTCTGTGGGGGATGTGGTAGGTCATGTCACATTGTCCAAAGCCACAAGCATTGGCCACACCCTCCTCCATGGGAACAGCCAATCTCTGAAAATGGGGTTCCTCAATGCTCCCACCCAGCCCATTCTAGCCCAAGGTAAAGTCCCATGTACCTCCTGTTAGAGTCAGTTAGTAACCACTCTCCTCTCTCTCCTGTCTTTCTTTCCTTTTCTTTCTTCCCCTCACACCAGGAGCATTCCCAGGTTGGTAGGAGGGTGGTTCCTGGGGGGTGGGCAAGAAGAGGACTGGGGAGAGCACACACCTCAACTCCCCCACTTGACTTGGTTGCAGAAAGAGTTGGGCTCCACTGAGGACATCTACCTGGCCTCCCGCAAGGTCAAGGAGCTGTCGGTCATTGATGGTCGGAGGGCTCAGAACTGCATCATCCTTCTCTCCAAGTATGTGCTTGCCTTGCCTCTGTGGCCCCCGCCCCAGAATAGGTTCCTTGTGGGAGGGAATGGGCCCTCCAAGGAGCAGAGGCCCAAGATGGGGATAGAACAAACAGAGGTTGTTGAATTGAGTGACTGGGGGAGAGAGGTGGCAGAGGAATGGGGTGACGGCAGTCTCCAGCCTCCCCCTCTCTGCTGTCCGCTGGGAAGGGGTGGGCATTGATTTAGAATCATGTGGAGCAGCAGTGTGGGACTCTGCAGACAGGACACTGCCCTGGTTGCGAGGCCCCGATCAGCCTGGTCAGCATCTGGCAGCTGAGTCGCTCTAAGCCCATGGAGGGCCCCATGCAGCTTACGCCCCAGAGCAGCATGATCTCAGCCCCTGAGTATTTCCCGTGGCTGCAGAACAAGCAGGGCAGTATCTCACTCACAGCACAGCTTCTGTGCGGGGCCTCCCGCCTGAGCCAGGGTCAGAGGGCACTGCCTTCTAGTCTATTCTTAGTGCTGCCCCAGCCGCCTCTGGGACATCCGCCCCCACCTCCTACCCCCTGTCCTCCCACAAAGCCCCAGGCCTCAGTTTCTCTCACTCAATGATAGGAGAGAGTTCTGAATCCCCAGGGTTCCCAGTGGGTGTGCACGTGGAGGGAATAGGAAAAGGCTGTGGGGGAGGGGGAGTGTGTTGGGGTTGGGGATGGCTTCTCCCTCTCTCCAGCCATCAAGACTGATGGGAACAGCTGGGTGGGAGCTGAGGTGCTGCTGCCAGAAGACTGAGAGTGATTCTGTTTTCTGAGAATGAGAGAAGCAGGAAACTGCCCCCGCAGTGGCCTGCTGCTAGTCCCATCCTCCCACGGAGATGCTGTTTATGTTTTAGGCATGAGGAGGAGGAGAAGGATCAGACACACTTTGTCCTGTCTCCTCAGTCAACACCGGAGACATCCCTTTTACTCCCAAATGCCCCTATCAGCTCTGATGGAACCTCACACAAGAGACCAGAGACTCAAGTCTCTCTTTAGAGAATAAAATGCTCATGATCGAGCTTATGGAGTGAATCATATTTGCTTAGTGTGAGAAGGCTTTGCAGAGGAAAGCAGGAGGGGGTACTGTTAAGTGGACCTCCAAGTTCACATTAGGAAGGGAGAGAAGGCCGAGGCTGTATCTTTTGGAAAAGGCTTGGGAGCTGTGCTGGGCTGAGAGGCCAGACTGTGCTGCTCAGGGAGTGGGGTTTTGCCTTAGGTTGAAGCTTTCTAATGAGGAGATCCGGCAGGCCGTCTTGAAGATGGACCAGCAGGAGGACCTCGCTAAGGACATGCTGGAGCAGGTGAGGACCCTTGTGGGAAGGGAAGGGGAGCTGAAGTGAGGGTTCAGCCACGCCCCCTCCTGACAGACCCCACAGAGGCTGAGACTCTTGGGTCAAGGAGAAATCAGGTTGGAGGAGTAGGGAAGAAGGTTTATAGAAACTTCCTTGGGCCAACCTTTCAAGGACCCCGGAAGAAGATAGGAGGTACAATCCTTTATGAATCTCAAGACAAAATCAGGGTGACCAATAGCATAACTTGCCCCTATCTCTTCCACCTCAATTTGTAGTGTCCTTTAAGAGAAACCTAGAGAACACCAAACAAAAGCACCATCAATTGGATTTCATTAAAATTAAGGACATCTGTTTATCAAAAGGCACTATCACCAGAAGGAAAAGACCGATCAAACCTTAGAGGAAGATATTTGCCATTCAAGAGTACTTTAAAAAGTTAGTGGAAAATGGAATTAAAAAATCACACGAATCCTCCCAGGAACCTTTTGTAGATCCCTAACACAGATCTCATATTCAGATTAAAGAAATCTACAAATCAGTGAGAAAGCGACAAACATGAGCAAAAGATATGAGCAGGCACTTCATGAAAGAAAATTTCCAAATGGCCAATAATCATATGACACTGTGTCCAATACTATTAGGGAAATACAGCAACCACAATGAGGTGGCACCACATGCCCACCAAAGTAGCTAAAATTAAAAAGACTGACAATGCCATGTGCTGACAAGGACGTGAAGCAAGTGTTCTCATTCAGCACCATCATTTTGGAAAACTACTTGGCAATGCATACTAAGGCTAATCATACACCTACCCTATTCCCCTAATGCCACTCATAGGTATATGCTCAAGAGAAACAAGTTCAAATACTGACTGAAAGACATACACAAGAATGTTTATAGCAACTTTATTTATAAAACCCCCACACGTAAACAACCCAGCTGTCTATCAATAGGAAAGTGAAGAAATAGACTGTGGCATGTTCCTACAATAGAATACCACTCAGTGATCGATAAAAAACAAACTACGCCATGCACATGGATGAATGTCAGACATGTTAAGCAAAAGAAGCCAGACGAAAGAGAATATACAGCATGAGTTCATTTATATGAAGTTCGAGGATAAGCAAATCTAAGGTGATAGGATTCAGTTGAGAGGCTATATTGGGGCGAGGAGGTGGCTTATTGGAGTGACACAATTGACCTTTCTTAAGGGATGGAAATGTTCTGTATCTTAATCTGGATGGTGATTTAGATGGGTGAAGATTTTTGTCAAAATCATTGAACTGACATTTAAAATGGGTGCATTTCATTTTAGGTAAAGTATACTTTGATAAAGTTGTTTTAAAAAGAAAAAAATCATTGAGCTGTGTGGTTAAGAAGAGTGTACTTTACTGTATGTAAGCTGTATGTCAACTTTAAAAGGTGAAGGAAAAAGAGTGTAGAGTTGGTGCCCCGCCATCCCCTTTGGGCAGATGAAACATAAACCATTCACACGATGCTGCCTGTCTCTTCTAAGGCCCCCTCCCCATCTTGAGCAGTCAGTGTATGGCTTCTCATACCCTGCCCCCCCACATCAGCTGCTCACCAGTTTCTTGTCTCACTCGCACCTGCTCTTTGCAGCTCCTTAAGTTTATCCCGGAGAAGAGCGACATTGACCTCCTGGAGGAGCACAAGCATGAGATCGAGCGCATGGCCCGCGCTGACCGCTTCCTCTATGAAATGAGCAGGTTGTGGCAGCAGGCGTGGCAGGAGAGGCCCGGGGAGGGAGGTGGGCAGCTCAAGAGGGAGCTGGAGCTGGCTCGCGGAGCTGGGGCGGGTGGGGGCTACCTCCTGATGTAGCTCGCCCCGTCCACAGGATCGACCACTACCAGCAGCGACTGCAGGCCCTCTTCTTCAAGAAGAAGTTCCAGGAGCGGCTGGCTGAAGCCAAGCCCAAAGTGGAAGGTAGGGCTGAGGGCTGGAGGGGGCCTGGAGTGGAGAGGCATCTGGAGAAGTCAGGCTGGTGGGAGTCAGTGAACAAGGGCAAAGGAAAACTCTTCCTTATTCTCAACCCAAAAGATAAAAAACAAAGTGAAAGACAAAATTTAAAATTATGATTATTATAAAAATATGCTATTATCATTGTAAAAAATATGTTTATACTAGCACATGTGCCAGCCATGTGACATGTTCCCTGTGCCTCAGCATTCAAACTCCAAGGTGGGGCATTTGGTGACATCTGCCCCAGCATGGGACAGAAATGTTGAGAAGATAATGATAACAGCCAGCACCTGGAACAGTGCCTGGTGCCTACTGAGCTCATCGGTCTTTACCCTACTGTAGTGGTATTAAGTGCAAAGAAGATCTCTGAGCATGTTATTCTAAGAGTGAGCCATTCAGAAAGTAGAACATTGTGCAAGGTGATCCCCGGAGGCATCTAATTTCCAAATTCAGGGAAATCCCTTCAACACCATGTCCAGATGGGAAATTTGTAATTAAATGAGAACACTATGCCAAGCAGTGTGTGAAACACTCTACTCGGAGGTCTCATTTGGTCCTCACAACAATCCCGTGGGTGGGTGCTGTTATTAACCTCTGTGTGTCTCCATTCTCTCATCTCTAAAATGGGGCTGTTAGTTAGCTGAGGCCATGCTCCTGGCAGGTGGTGGAGCCAGGACAGGAATGCAGATGCTGTTCTTCACAATCCATCCCTTCACTCTTGTCTTATAGTGCTGTCCAGAGGGCATCTCCCTGGGGCTGCCTGTGGGGATGGCAGAGGAGAAAGGGGCATGGAGTTGAGGGAAAGGTGGATGGTCAAGATGGTGGGAAGACATGCACACCCAGGAGGGGAGAAGCAGGAGAGGCTGGGGGCTCATTTGTGGTGAGGACAGGACCAGCAGAGGGAACAAGGGAGCCTGTGTCCAGGATGCTGAGGGTGCTGGGCTAGGGCAGCCTGGAGCATGCGCCCCCCCTGCTGGACACCAGGGCCAGCCAGCACTCCCTGGGATGCCCTGTCCAGTGAGTGGCAATCCTGGCATCCAATGAGCTCCTTCAGAGAGGATTCTGGGCGTAGAGTGGAGCATGCAGAGCTAAAGGCAGACATTCTCTGTAATCTGGCCCCTGTTGCCCCTCAAACCACATGCGCTCACACATGCATGTGTGCTCATGCAGCAAGGGACCTGCAGGCAGTGATCATAGATAACTGGCCAGAGGGAGGAGGAAAGATATCATAGGTGCCTTGCCACCTCTAGGGTATGGCGGTATCTCCTGCCCTGGTTGGTGATGGGCGAACCCTTATCCTCACTACTTTCTTTCCTCCTGCTGCAGACTGCCTTTAAGGCATGAGACACAGACAAGGAGATCAGCCCAGGACATATGTGCTCAACTCTGTGTGTGTCTTGGCTCAGTGGAGCAAATATGAGAAATTGCCATTTGGAGCTATAGAACCAGAGTAGCTTAGCCGCCAGGAAGTTTTAATCTCAGACAGTTTTTTGCTCCTAAACTCTCTAAGAGTTAGTCGGTGGATGCCTAGGACTAAGTCTCCCTTTAATATCAAGCTGGGCAGAGCAAGACGTGTTTGGGATAGCAAAACCTGCTGGGGAAAGCCACCCTTCTATAGCTCAGCTCTGTAATAATTGCTCTGCTATAGCAGAGCAGGGAAGAGGTGCCTGAAGTTGTGTACTACAGAATCAGATTGGTGTGCCTGACCGGGGACGGAGACAAAAGAATTGTGCAGAAGTTGGGGTTCAGGGCCGGCCCGGTGGCGCACTGGAGAGTGCGCCGCTTGGGAGCGCAGTTGCGCTCCCGCCGAGGGTTCATATCCCATGTGGAGACCGGTTCCCGCTCACTGGCTGAGCGTGGTGCGGGCACGACACCGAGGGTTGCGATCCCGTTGCCAGTCAGTAAAAAAGACAAAAAGGACAAAAAAAAAAAAAGAAGTTGGGGTTCATATTGCTCCTTCCAGTTCTCCCAGGAAATATTCCTGGAAGAGCTGAGATTTAGCCTATTCCAGCTGGGTGATGAGCTATTGACACCCACTCTCCCATCCCCCTGCAGGGGCTCTGGGCCAATTTGCCTAAAGCCAATTCACCAAATTTGACAAATTTACCAATTCTTCTATGAATATATTCATGAACATATTTTTCTTGAATATACTCTTGTGAATATGTTCATAGCTGAATATACCAAATTTACCGATTCTTATTATGAATACACTGAATACGGTAAAGATGAATATGGTTGCACATGTAATATTCTTATGAATATATTCACGAATATATTATTCTTGTGAATGTATCTAAAATTTTAAGATTGCATATGGAAGTTTTTCCATATACACTGATTTCCTTTGAACTCTTGTCATTTTGTTTTGCCAACATTTTAAGCATTTTTAGAAGGATTCCTTTGCAATTTTTTTTAAATAGCATATCAAACTTAAAAAAAATCTTAACCAATATAAATTACCAGAAACTTCTATAAATAGGTTTATTTTAATAAAATTTTTATTGAAATGTAACATGCATATAGAAAAGTACACAAATCATTAGCATCCTACTTAATGGATCTTCATAAAGTGAACCCACCTGCATAATGAACACCCAGGTCAAGAAATGGAATGTTTCCAGCACCCCAGAGTCTTTATTGTCCTTCTCCCAAACATTCCCCCCTCTCAACCATCACTCTTTCTCTAAAGTTAACAACTATCTTGACTTCTACATTAGTTTTGTCTGTTTTGAAGTTTATACAAGTGGACTAATATTGCATGAATAATTTTATGCTGGCTTCTTTTACTCAACATTATGGTTGTGAGTCATCTCTAATGTTCTTTGCAACAATTGATTAATTCATTTTCAGTGCTGCATTTTATTCCATTATATGAATACCCATATACATAACTTACCCATTCTATTCATAATTTTAAAAAACCTGGAAACAATCCAAATGCCCATCAAGAGGAATGCTGCTTTTAGGTATGGAGTTATCAGCTTAAAAGTAGACAAACTTTACTTGTTACTCATCTTTACAGCTTTCTTTTACAGTTACTTATTTTTAACTGCTTTTAAAGGTTCTGCAAACTTTTAGTCAAGTTGTTTTTATTTTATCTTCATAGCAGCATCTTAAGGATTGTTTTTTACAGTTACTTATTTTTAAGAGCTTTTAAAGTTTCTGCAAACTTTTAGTCAAGTTGTTTTTATTTTATCTTCATAGCAGCATCTTAAGGATTGTTCATTTTGACATAAGCCAAAGATCATAGGATAGTTTGGTCTTTCATCACCACTTTTAATATTCAAAAACCATACTCCATAACTAGTAGCCAAAATCTCAGTGTAAGATTCGTATCCCACTCCTGCACATCCACCATAAAAGGATAATAGCTGACAAAGGGCCAGAGCAAAACATCAGAATGAAATACTGAAGTTTTGGATACTGTCGGTATTCGATTGTATTTCTAACAATTTTATCTTTTAAGGAGTTGGGGAGGAAATGCTTAACGTGCCTTAAGGTTGAAAAAAATTTTTAAATGATATTCAACAGGATGTCAAGTAACTTATTTCATCAAATCTAAGACACCATGAACTGTAAAGCACATCATTATTTTATAGAACAGAAATAAGATGGGAATATTATAATTGATGACATGTTAGAATTTGATGGATTTTTTCTTTCCAAAATATTTATAAAATACAGTATTGCAAAAGAAGCAGAAGCAATCCCATAATATGTAAAATGCTGAAATTTAAATTTTTAAATGCTAGCTTTAGGGAAGTAAAAGTGTTATATTCATGAATATATTCATTAATCATTTAATACATGCAAGAAGAGATATTCTCAGATATATTCTCAGGAAGAACTTGTACTTATGTGAGTGGGTTATCTGGTAAACTGGCCTCTGGTGAATTTGTCTTCTCCCCTGGATGTGGGTGGATGTGGGGACATGGAGAAGATGGGTCTGCTGAGGAATGGGGATGGTCTCTGCCCCACGAAGAGTTGCAGACACTTGATAGTGCCGTTTCTGAACTCCGTTGTGGCACCTTCCTGGAGTTCAGGACTCTGACCTGTCCCCCCTCTCCCAGCCATCCTGCTGGCCTCCCGGGAGCTGGTGCGCAGCAAGCGTCTAAAGCAGATGCTGGAGGTTGTTCTGGCCATCGGCAACTTCATGAACAAAGGGCAGCGTGGGGGCGCCTATGGGTTCCGGGTGGCCAGCCTTAACAAGATCGCCGACACCAAGTCCAGCATCGACAGGTGGGGACCCCCCTGCTTCCTGAACCTCCGCCTCACCTCACCCTGACCTCTCCCCTCCTCCCACTTATCTTTCCTCCATTTCCCAGCCCAAGACTCGTTGTCTCTTTTCCTTAACACCCCACACACCCCACCCTGGTTTCCTCCTGACTCTCCTTCCCAATTTCCTCAGTCCCTTACTCCTGACCTGACTTTCATCCACAGAAACATCTCTCTGCTCCATTACCTGATCATGATCCTGGAGAAACATTTCCCTGACATCCTGAACATGCCTTCGGAGCTGCAGCATCTTCCAGAAGCTGCCAAAGTCAAGTGAGGGGTCCCTCCAAGACTTCCTTTTCCCCATGATCTCACACACACCTTCCTCCTTCAGGGCCTATCTGGGCTGACTAGGAATGGGCAGTGTCTCAGGGTCTGCTCCTGGATGAACCAAACAAAGAAAACTTGCTCTTAAATCCTTATTTCAGAGATGCTCCAGAAAACAACAGTAGGGGAGTGAGGAAGTGAGCAAGGGACAGAAAGAATGCCAATAACGGAATGTGATTAAGCTGGTTAGCACTGTGGGCAAATGGAGCTTAGACTCACTAAGGAACTCTGGGAGACAGTGTAGACACCTGCTGCAGTTATCCCACCCCAGGAGAGAGAGCTGGGCAGTCATGCAGCATCTCCTGCCAGTCATTAGCTGATGGGCTGGAGGGCAGGGGTCATAGTTCTTGGGCCACAGTGTAGGCAGAGGGGGCTTGGTCTCAGAAAAAGTGCTCACACAGTTGGAAGAGTCCGGGCGATACACGACAACGATGGTTCAAGGAAACACAGTTGGAGCACCAACAGCATCGGCTGCAGGCAAGAAATCAGACCTGAACATATAGGCTGATAGGAGCCATCTGCAGTAGAACAGAAGCGTAGTGGTAAGTGGCTAACTGGTATCGAATGCTACTGCACATGAGACACCATGGGAAGAGCTTATAAGCATGACCTGCTGGTAATGAAAATAAATCTAAGCCAGTGGCATATGTTGGAAACCATCTGATATGCAGCATGACATTTCTGATCTGGAAAGATCCACAAAACCCAAGTTTCACCCCTGTTACTTTACAGAAGCACAGACAGAGGCACAGAGGGGAGGTGACTAGCCAGGGCCACATGTCAGTGGCCACCCCTCTCCCTGATCCAGCCTCAGCTCCTGAGTCTAGAGCTGATGTCCCCGCCTTGTCTCCCCACAGCCTGGCAGAGCTAGAGAAGGAGGTGGGCAACCTCAAGAGGGGCCTCCGAGCAGTCGAGGTGGTAAGTACATCACCTGCGCCTGCCTGGGTCTGAGGGGATGCTGTCAGGGAACTGCCCACGCCGTCTGTCACTGCACCCTGTCTGATGCCTTCTGTGACTCTAAGCTGCTGGCTGGCATAGTAGGCACAGCACTTTGTCATGGGGGCAGCCCTCAGAAAAGGGTGATTGGATTACCTGGTGCTTAAGTTTAGTCCCCTAAAAAGAGGACATCCATCTGACTGTATCCATGTCACTGTCCAGCATGGTATCTATTTGGATGTGGAGTGGAATGAACAATAGATCTGCCCAAATTGCCCAGCTGTAAATGATAGAACTGAGTTAAAATCCTGACTCTGCAGCTCTGCTTTGGACTTGGTTGCTCTGCCTCTTCTTGCTTCTCACACTGACATGCACACAGATGCCATGTGTGGGGGTCTTATTAAAGTGTGGATTCTCGGGCCGGCCCGGTGGCGCACTGGATAAGTGCGCCGCTTGGGAAGCGCGGCGGCGCTCCCACCCGAGGGTTCGGATCCCACATACAGCAGAGGCAGAGTGGCCCACTGGTAACTCCCATAGATTTTGCCATCCTTAGAATTGTGAGACTTGGGGTGTCCCTCTTTCAAAGGGCTCAGTGTCCTGTGACAACAAGAAGGGTGGGAGATGCAGTGAATGCTGACCTCTGACTCTCATCCTGGCATCAGTCTAAGCAGCACTTCACCTTCCCTCCTCAGGAGCTGGAATATCAGAGACGCCAGGTGCGGGAGCCCAATGATAAGTTTGTCCCAGTCATGAGCGACTTCATCACAGTGTCCAGCTTCAGCTTCTCAGAGCTGGAGGACCAGCTAAATGAGGCCAGGGACAAGGTAAGGGTGCCCAAGCCCCCACTCTGACTCCACTGTTCTCCTGCTCAGCCTCATCCACACACAGCCACTTCATTCGTTCCTACCACAGACTGCCCAGAAGAGACAAACCCAGAGACACAGAGCCTTGGGGAAACAGCAATTCCTCACTCCCATGAGACAAGCAATGATAACCGCACACTGCAAAGATCATGGGCCATTTATCAGGTGTCAGACACCGCATTAAGTCTTTTAGTGATTTATCTCTCCACGTACCTTATGGGTTTCTTAAAAGGTTATTATCCCATTTGACAAATATGAACACCGAGAATCAGAGAGGTTAAGTAACTTGCCCAAAATTGCCCAGCTGTAAATGATAGAACTGAGTTAAAATCCTGACTCTGCAGCTCAGCTTTGACCTTGGTTGCTCTGCCTCTTCTTGCTTCTCACACTGACATGCACACAGATGCCATGTGTGGGGGTCTTATTAAAGTGTGGATTCTCATTCACGAAGCCTAGGGTGGGGCCTGAGATTCAGCATCTCTAGCTAGTTCCCAGGAGAGGCACATGCTGTTAGTCTATGAAGCACGCTTTGAATAGTGAGGTCTTTCTTAGAGGAAATTGAATGGTTTGAATTAGAAGTGGTAGCTGTCGATAAAGTCAGAACGGTGCCTGGCACCTATAGGTATAGCTAGTACTTTATAGTTATTACCTCATTTAACCCCCACAACAACACTATGAAGTAGATTCTTTTATTATCGCCATTTTACAGATGATCAACCTGAGGCAGAGAGGGTTTAAATAACCCAATAACTAGATGATCTCTGAGGTACTTTTGAGTTCTGACCAGGCAGTTCCTGACCTTAGGAAGGGCTTGCCATGGTCTATCCCTCCTGGTCCCATATCTGCATCACAAAAGACCCAGAGGTGGCTCTGAGGTCAACAGCCCAAGTTGGCAGCCTCAGGCCTTTCCTAAGTCTCGTCCCTCCCTGTGATGATAATGCCCCCCTCCCTAGCCTAGGACTGGGCTCTGCTCTGGCTGGAACCCAGCAAACCTCAGGGGCCAAGCCCACCATGCTCTGGGTTGATTCTCCACCAACGCTGTTCCCTCCTGCCACAGTTTGCCAAGGCCCTGAGGCACTTCGGGGAGCATGAGAGCAAGATGCAGCCGGACGAATTCTTTGGCATCTTTGACAGCTTCCTGCAGGCCTTCTCGGAGGCCCGGCAGGACCTGGAGGCCATGAGGAGGAGGAAGGAGGAGGAGGAGCGGCGGGCACGCATGGAAGCCATGGTGAGAGGGCCGGGGCTGCGCTGATGCAGAGGGCAGGGACTGTGGCACACCAGCCTCCAGCCTAGGAGTGCTGGGCTATGCAGGGGCTGCCCTGGCCTGAGCCTGCCTCCCAGAGAGGGTTGCAGCCTCTCATTACCCCCCACCAATCCCCTGCAGCTAAAGGAGCAGCGGGAGCGCGAGCGGTGGCAGCGGCAGCGGCAGGTCCTGGCGGGCAGCGCGCTGGAGGAGGGAGGCGAGTTCGACGACCTGGTGTCGGCCCTGCGCTCCGGGGAAGTTTTTGACAAGGACTTGTGCAAGCTCAAGCGCAGCCGCAAGCGATCAGGGAGCCAGGCCCTGGAGGTCACCCGGGAGCGGGCAATGCACAGGCTAAATTATTGACCTGGGGATTGGCCCCACAGGAGGCTGGAGACTGGGACAGGCCGAGAGGGGCTGAGCAGAGGCGGAGGTGCGGTGATACTTCAACCATTTGGTGCTGGTGTAGAGCCCTGGGCTGGGCCCTGGGGTGGGGGCTGTGGGGGCTGGACCAGGTGTCTCCCCATGCTTACCTAAGGGCTCCTCCCTTCTCACCTTTGCATTCTTCTCTCTGCATCCTGGCCCCCAGGGGCCTTCTTGAAGGCTGGCTTGGACATCCCTGGCATACCACGGTCTGGCCAGGCAACCGCAAGCTGAGGGGACCCTGCTCCCCATCCCCCACCATGGCACCCCCATGTTGGCACAGAAGTCTTCCAGATCTAGACTGCAAAGTTCCCCACACTGTGTCCAGATTTCACGCGTGGGGCATTAACAGTGGAATGGCCCTGAGAGCCAGGGAGAGGGGATCCAGGCTCCCTTTTCTCAAGGGGAAGCTCAATGGAACACTGATCTGGGGAGAACTTTCCTCTCACATGGAAACGGAAGAGCATTATATGTTCTAGCTAGATCAGCTCTGGTATGTTCCAGAACACCAAATGTTGGGAGGATGATGCAGGGACCAGAGCCATCAGACGGAGTAGCTGTGCCTGTTTTCCTGCATCACAAGTCCTTTGGCCACTCTCTTGCATGTCTGAAGTCTCTCCCCTTCCTTCCCTACCCCCACCTCCATCCTATCTACTAACCCACAATCCAGAAAACTCAGCTTTGGGTTCCCACGACTGTGGCTTACTACCAGCTACTTGATGAACCTGGAGAGACTTCATCACCACACCTCATGCTTTGTGCGTCGGGACCCCCACTACCCCACACAACCTGACCATCGTCCTGAAGTGAGACAGAGACCTCGACCTCACATGTTGCCTAGGAGTTCCCAGAGCCCCTAGCCAGAGGGCGACACTTGAATGTCGAGCTCCACCCAACAGCTCCTTGGTCCACCACTTAATATTAATCGTGCTGGCCCCAGCTTTTTCTCTAACACCTGCCTCAGGGCAGAAGCCGTGGTGGTGGCTTCTCTGCCCAGCCTGCAGGATACCACTTGGAACCACATGCACCTGGCTGAGGCTGGCCCTGGAGAGTCAGTCCTAAGGGCCAAAGCTGCCCTCTGCATTTACATGCAGTCTCTGAGGGTGCCCTCCTCCCCAACCCCCAGGCATTGGGCTTAGGGTCCAGAGAAGAGCAGGCAGGAGAGCTGGGGACTGGGGATGGAGGAGGAAGGCCAGCTTCCTTGGGGAGTGCACTGCCTGAAAGGAGCCAAGGAAGGAAGTCTGGGAGGAGGCCCCACCACCATCTCTGGTACCCAATTTGGATCTTCAACCTGACTTGCAAGGGGCCCACTCTTGTCCTCCCGTCCACTCCCACCTTCCATTTTGTCCATCTTGAGCAGTCCCTGGCAGGAGGGTGGGACGGCTGTATATAGACAGATTTTCTTCTAACATGAGGAGAGTGAGGTCAATTCCATCAAGGCTCTTATTTTGAATACACACCCCCACTCCAAGCTGATCTTTCATCCTCTGTAAGACCAGCTTGCCTGACGTTCACCATCAACCAGCTCCTGGCCTTTATGTTTCCGACCTTCGGACCGCATTCCCAGGCTCAGGGTGATTGCCAGTGGACAGACTGGTGGGCTGGGCCCGCTCTTCAGCTGCCTGTCTTCTGCCTTTTCTCAACATCAGACTCCTGGGGTGGGGCATAGTAGCTGCGGGGGAAGAAGCAGGGTTGGTGAGCCCAGCATGTGCGTTGGTTGGAGGGGGCGATGCGTGTGTTCTGTGGGAGGGATCAGAGTAAGTGCAAGCCTGGCTGGCACAGGTGTGAAGAGGCCATCTGGAACCCAGGTGAGGGCGAGGAAGGCTTCCAGGAAGAGCAGCTGCAGAGAGCTTCATTATATCCATCTGCACACCCGAGAGCCTCACTGCAAGAAGCAGGCACTGGGATGATGGGGAAGCTGTGGGTGGGACCTCTGAAGGTCCTCTCCCAAACCTGCCAGGCTGAGATCAGCCTAACCCGCAAGAGGAAGGGAACAGGGAGGACTCCAGTTCTGTCCAAGCATGTCCAAATCTGGCATTTCCACCCACCATGGAAGGCTGGATACACACCAGGAAAGACAAGGAATATGGAAGCTGTTCACAACACATTCCATCCTCAGAAAAGCAGAGTCATGGTTTAGCTGTTTACAGAAGACATATCATTCCAGAGCTCAGCCTTTTCACCCCCAAATGGTTTTTTGTTCTCTATTTATTATTTTCTAGATCTGGCCAGTGGCTTTGGTCCTAGATGCCACTGTGGCCAGATCTCTCCAACAGTGCCTTGGACCATGGACCATCAGAGTCAACTCAGCAGGGAGGGACTGGTGCTCAGTGGAGGCTGCTGAGCTAGTCCTTGATGTTAAATGTTTAAGCCTTGCTTTCCACAGTGCCCTTCCCACCCCTCCTGCCACCTTCAGATAAATTTCTCCCACTGTCTAATTTTGTGTCCAAGATAAAATTCATAGTCAGCCTAACACAACCCATCCCTTCTCAGCAGCAGCACTTCCTCCTCCCTGCGGTGGTGGGAGAACACCCTCAAGGTAGATGGGGAAGGCTCTGGTCCAGGCTCTCCCCAGTCCTATCACATTCCCACCAACTGGGGAGCCATGACCATCCCCCCTGACCTCTACCAGGGACACCTTCATGCCAAGGCTGCTTTCACCAGCTGTCTCAGATGATAAGTGAAGCTAATGTACAAAATTTGCAGTGTCTTTACCTGCACCTTTTTTATAAGAATATATTGTAATACTAAAAAATATTAAACCCATACCATCCCTACCCAGCCTTCCTTGAAACTTGTGCCTTCTTCTCATGGGGGGACTTGGGGTGTGCTGGAGCCAGCTTCTACCAGCTGAGAATGGACTGTTTACATTTTCAGGTCTTTTGCAAGCCATGTGACGTTATACTGGTACCTTGAAATTGGTCAAGATGGGAGTATTAATATGAAAGTTGTGTTTTCCAGGGAGCTGGTTGTTAAACAGTTGCCAGAACACCTCAGCACAGGGCAGAGGTGAGGCAGGCAAGGGGCACCACTGAGGACAGACCCAAAGAAGCCCATCCATATTAGAGAACCCGGCAGGCCAGGTCAGTGTTTGGGGATGTGAAAACCAGGAGCAACTAACTACTCTCCCCTGCTCTTTAGCAGCTGGTGATACAAGCAGTAAGCTTCAGACACCCCCACCTGACTTTGCCTTAGATGGTGCATTTCTATGTTTCCCAGTCCACTGTACACTCTCCCTTGGGGGGATATACAGAAAACATGTTCTTTAGGACTTTCCAGGGTCTCTGCTTCCCCCTTCTCCCTAGGGATATAGCAGCTCAGGGCCCTCTGCACAGACACAGTCCTCATTCTTGTATCTCCAAAGTTGGCATTGTGGCTTTATTTGTGCACTGTGAGGGTGAAGGCAATCTTCAGCAATATTCTTCCCCTGATATGTTCCAGAATAAAGAGGTGGGGGTGGAACAACAATCAGCAGTGCCGGATGTGGGATGTGTGGTCAGTCAGGAGTCCTGAGTCCACACATGGGTGTGTGTGTCCTGCTTAAGAGGAGGGGGTCGAGAAAAAGAAGTTGGCAGGACAGTGACTGAAGCCAAAAGCCTGCATATTTGATGGGACACAGGCTCAGGCAGAGGGATAGCTGGCTCTTGCAAAGGAGGGATGGCAGAGAAGCAAGGACAGGGCGGGGCTGCAGCTTCACAAACTTGTGAAAGCAAATCGGCTAGAAAGAAGTAGTGATACACTCTTTACACAAGCCTATGCTTTTCCCTCCTCAAAGTGGGTTCCTCTGCTTAATGAGCCCTTATTCTTTCCCTGGGGAAGTAGGAGAAGAGAAAACCCAAAATGAGAAGTAGAAGTTATGGGCTGGACTGTCTGAAACTGGTGGTCTGAAATAGTCCGCATGTAATACGAAGTGAGTTTTCAGTTATCCAGCATTGCTTGTTGCAACCCCCCCTGTGACAGTGTCCTGGAAGGCTTAAGGGCCTGCCAGTGTCCTCTGTGTATAAACAAAGCCCCACAGGTCATTAGAGATCTCTAGTAGAGTAGGCTAACCTCCAGTTCCTACTGGTGAAGGTAAACAGTGACCGCAATTAAAGAAATGTGACATCTTTCCCTCAGGCGAAACTACATCCCATCCCTAGACCTGGGGGCCCACGAGTGAGAGGGGCCAGGAGCTCTAAGCCCGACGGAAGTCTCCCCGCTGGCCCCCTGTCTTGCTAATGAGCTTGATGTCCCCCAACACGATGTCCCGGCTGACAGCCTTGCACATGTCGTACAGGGTGAGGGCAGCCACAGCAGCTGAGGTCAGGGCCTCCATCTCCACCCCGGTGGGGCCCCGAGCCCGGCAGGATGCCTGGATCACCACGGCATGGCGCGTGCTGTCCAGCTCCAGCTGCACCTGGATATGGCTCAGGGTCACGTGGTGGCAGAGAGGAATCAGTTGGCTGGTCAGCTTGGCTGCCTGGACTCCAGCCAGCTGGGCCACCACCAGCGCATCTCCCTTCTTTAGCTGGTTCTGCTGGATGAGCTTAAAGGCCACAGGCCCCAGGAGGACCAGGGCTGAGGCCACGGCCATCCGCTCTGTGTCTGGCTTCTTGCCCACATCTACCATAGCTGCTCGTCCTTCTGAGTCCAAATGGGTTAGTTGGTGTGAGGTTGGCAGGGATCCTGATGGGGCAGCAGGAGCCTGAGACACTGGGCTAAGGCACTTTGAGTTGGTTTCAGAATCCATGTGGGAACTGTAGTGTCTCTGAGGTGACCCTGACCCCAGCCACTGCTGGGCTAGGGGAGGGGTTTGGGAGACTCTGCATCCTTTCCACAAAGTCATCATCCAGCTGGAGAAACTCACTCTGGGTCTCAGACCCTGAACATCAAGGGGGTCCCAGGGGGCAAGGCTTGAATTAGCTGGTGGGGAATCTTGGAGCATCAAAAATAACTCTGGAAGGCAAAGAGGAAAGAGAGGAAAGACTAAGTCCAAAAGGTAGTTCTTTTTCCCGCCTCTTCTCCCCAGCACTCTCCCTACCCCACCTCGAGCGCCCTCTCTCACAATGGGGAGAGAGGAATGAAAAACAAAAAGCATAGTGAGACAAGGCAAAATGGAAGGGACACAGACAGAAGGTGACTATAATACAATTTGACAGCCCTTCTCACTAGGTAAAGCCCAGGGTGACAACCCCACCAGTTTCTGACTGTCATGAGATGGTCACATGGAGTTATTCCTGGCTCCCCTCCTCACAAAAACTGTCCTGTTTCCAAAGTTCTCTTAAGAAGCACCTAAGATCTGAAGCACGAAGGCTGTGGCCTAGATCAAATGATCTCTCAATGTCCCTTCATTTTCTTGTTAGAAAACTATAGCTAGTTCTCACCCTAAACTACCAATTACAGTTATTTTCATTTTCCCATTCTCTATGAACAGGTAATAGTAGTTGAGCTCTTGGTTAAAGTAGAGACCTTTTTCCTCAGCTCTAGAATCTTCCAGCTTGAATACAATTTCAGGCATCCCTCTTCCTGCAGTATGGACCATGCGTGTGTATCAGGAGGTCTGGGGTGGGATTCTCCATGTCTCATACATTCTCAGAGGGGGCTGGCTCTGCTGGTCCATGGGCCACCCTTTGTGTAATAAAAGCCTGCAGAGCTCCCAAGGCTCTCTGGCCCATTTGAATCTACCTGTCAGTTTCTGCACATTTGGGATGTGCTTGACTTGAGAGACATTATTTAAGTAGGCTAAATATTTCCCATAGTATCTTGTCTGTAAACTCAATTCTTAGGGAACTAACTTAGTGATCATTAAATCTGGAGGATCCCCTGCCCCAATTCCTGGGGAGAAAGAATGATCACTTTTGTGGCATGTATAGTGAGGGGGAGCATGGACAGGGAAGAGGAGAAACAGGAAAGGCTTGAAGGAGTAAGACAAAGAGGGGACAGAAGAAAAATAAGCAGGAGAACATCAGGATGAAATGCAGGAGCTGGCGTGCCTGTGGCAGGGGCCCCACCCTGTGGCATCCCCACATGACAAGGGTGAGTGGTTACGTACTGCTGGGTCACCCACCGATGAGGATCATGGGCCGGTTCTTCATCTGGGAAATACTGAACATACCTGAGGAGAGGGGAGAGTGCAGAGGGAGAAGAGAGCAGGGAAGGGGGAGGCAGAGGGTGGGGTGAGGAGACTTGAGTACTCCGGCAGCTCCCGGGCACACACACTCCAGTATCTACACGCAGACAAAAAGCCCCACATGTACACCACGGGGTCACCGTGACAGAGCTGAGAATAGTCTGGGATGCCCAGGACCCTGCCCTCCCTAACAGAAGGCAGTGTGTGGGATGAGAGACAATCAATGGGGACCCTCTCCCCTTGCCCTCTATAACAGCCCAAGAGAACTGAGGTTCCTTCTCCTGTGCAGCCTCTGCTATGCCAACTTCCCGAAGCAGGAGAACCATCACTGCACACCAAGTGCAGAGGCCCAACAGGAGGCATGGGGATGACACTGAATCCCGCCCACTTCTGCCCAGGCATTCTGTTGTCCTGTCCCCCATTACTCCGACCTCCCTCCTGCTGACAGCGGCCACTCACCACCAGCTTGGCCTCCCCACTCATGCCCTTACCTGCATGCTGCCGCTTCTTCCTGCCTACGGCCGCCCCGATGATTCTCAGCAGCTCCTCCTCGGAGGCCCCTGCCCGCAGGTGATCCCGTAGAGACACCTCTGAGTTCCCAAAGAGACAGACCTGCACAGGGGTGAGGACAACATGTCTCTCTCATCCCTGAGCCTTGGCCTCCCAGCCTCTGAGCAGCCAGCCCCCATCCCTTGAGTCCCCCCAGGGCTGAGCACCCGTACCCAGGCCTCCCACAGCAGGATGCCTGGCCGTGAGGGACAGAAGAGCTGGATGGAGGAGTCAGAGAGGCTAGAAAGGCAAGAAGCAAAATCAGGCTTCCCAAAGCCTGTATCTAACTTAACGGTCATATTTTCTTCAGTGTACTTTAAAAAATTAAATAGATGCCAATAGAGATAGCACATAAGAATCCAGATCTCTACCTTCTCCAGAGACATTCGATGGAATGCCCTCTTTATTGCCATGAGAATGGCCCCAATCAGTTGGAGCTGAGTCCCAACAGTCCCCCCGAGACACGGCACACACATCTTATTTCACCTGAGTCCCCTCCTGGTCCCTTCACTCATGGACATTACCTGCCTGCCCCTCATCTATGTGAGTCTCTGACCCCTGCTTGGTACTTGACAGCTGAGGGCTGGTGGAGGTGGCATCCTGAAATCATTCAAACTTGATTCAATGCTCCACAGCTCCTATGAGGGGCTGGGTGCTATGGGGGGCTCAGAGACGATAAGGCAGTCCCAGAAATTGAGATACCTGCCATCCTTTCATAGAAACATATAAAGGAATCTACTAAGTGCCAGCTCTGCACAAGGCACTGCGGACACAGACAAGAGAATGTTTGAGAAGCCCGCAAGGACAGAGACTGCTAGAGAAGATGAGATAGCAGTGAAATCTAAGATCGAAGGTATAACTGTTTCACAGTGCTGGCTATTCCTCATGCTTCCCCACCAGGTCCGCCCTTCTCTGCAACTAGTTCACAGGTTCCCCCTGTGCACTTGGCCTGTGGGCTCCCCTCCAGCTGGCTTCTGCCTGGGAGATCAGAGGGTGACTGGAAAGAAAAGTCCCTGGTCCCTCCCTGCTTCCCTCCACACCTTTCCTCCAAGGCTCTGGCCCACACTGGCCCCAGTGACATCACTTCCTCCCGTCCCCTTCCTGTCTGTGGGAACAGCTATTTGCTGCTTCCTATCCAGAATGCCTCAACATCCCTTATTGGTTCCCTTGACTCTATACACTGTAAGCAGCCTCTTCATTACATTCTCTTCAGAATCCACCTTCCAATTCCTGCTGGGACCCTATCTGATACAGATACCACATACAGTACAAGCCAATTCTATTTTTCCAGCCCAGAAAAAACCCCAGTCTTCCCAGCAACCTGCTGAACTGTTCCTTTTGGATGTCAAACTGGATGCATCTAAACCCCATCACTCTCCCTCCCCTAATCCTGAACAGGCCCCAAGACCATCAGCTACCTTGATGCCTTCCCCTCCTCCTTCTACACACATTACCAAGCTCTTTGACTCTCCCTTCCTACCTTTACCTTACCTAAAACACAGATGGGGGATTACGTCTCCCTCTTGCTCAGAACCCTTGCATGGCACCCTACAATCAATAGAACACATTCAGAACCAAAGCCCTCTACAATGTGGTCTCCCTCTGTCTGTCTTTAATCTGCCCTAGATAAATCAGTATGAACCTCATATCTGCATCCTCCCTCCTCACTTCTCCTACCCCTGCCACTCTTCAAGGCTTGCCCAGGGCCACTGTGCTCCTTTTCAAGGGCCACCATGCTCACTGCCTGTCCAGCAGGCATTTGACAAAGAATCACGTGCTGCCACACATCACCTGTTTGGTCTTGCCAGTGAGTTTTTACGGCCCTAAAGAAAAGGGGCCATCTCCCATAATGTTGAATGCATAGGACCTGCTTCTGAGATATGAGCATGGATGCTGGTTTTGGGGCCAGCCATGGTGGGGGCCAGGCTAAGTGCACATAGACCCTCAATCCACCCCTCTGGTAGCACTGAGTGCTGAAAAGACCTTCCAATAAACCAGAAGCCACTTCAGGGACCCAAAGAAACAAGCAAGGAAGGAATGAGGGTAGCAGTGCCACAGGGACCACAGGCTCACTTTCATCTGCTGCTCCCACGATGCCCCACACCTGACACTGCTGCACCAACCTTCCCGGCAGCCCTGCTATTTCCTCTCCAATCAAGGAGCACAGGTGGGAGGAGAGATGATAACTCAGAGGTGGTAAGGGACCTTGTGGTGGGGGGACACTCACCTTGAGGTTCCCATCGGCTGTGATTCGCAGCCGGTTGCAGGTCCCACAGAAATGCTCGGACATGGATGTGATGAAGCTGATCTGGCCTTGGAAGCCAGGGATTTTAAAGGCCTGGAAATGGGGGAGAGAAAGAAAGGCAGTAGAGGGATGCGGACAGCTCCTGAGCCCAGGCTCTCACTCCCTACACCAGAACCCCACTCCTCGCCGTCGCCAAGGAGCCTGAGGGAAGGGCGCACCTAAGGCTGCGCAGACTCTGGGACAACAGATGGCCCATTTTCTGCCTGTGCCTGGCTTGCCCTAGGGTAAACCTGCTCAGGACGCAGAGACCTGGGGCAGCACAGCCAGAGTAGAGCAGGATGAGCCCTCCCTGCACCACCTACCGGCGCTGTCCTCCAATAAGTTTCTTATCCCCTGATCTGCATAGCCCCAGCCGGGCCTGCTTCTTCATCCGTGACACAGGAGGGTGGCTGTGACAGCACTGTGGTACTTCCTGCTTATTGCACCACCCCCCATCACTGCACTCTGACCTCCATTCAGCCCCCGCTCTCTATCCTAGAGTGGAGGCCCAGCCCTGCCCTCCTGCTCCCTAACCTTGGCTGTGCTGGATTCCTCCTCTGGCAGCTTCTCTAGCTCCGGCCACTGCTGCTGGATTGTGTCCAGCATCTCCTTGTAGCTGACCATCTTCCTGAAGTTCCACTTGTTGCCTGTATATGAGTTGGGGGAGGCAGGAGGAGCTACTGAATCACAAGGTGGAAGGGGCCTGGGCATCTTCAAGTTCATCCTCCCCCACAGCATTTATCAGTTCTCCAGACTCTTAGACTGGAGGACAGGGGCCCTGCCTAAAACAGGTAGCTGAAATCTTCCATACCCAACCCTGAGAAGCCCAGTGCCCTATTAAGACCCCGGGCCCAGCACCTGCCCAGGCCCCTCCCAACATCCCTGGGGTCAACAGTACCTGCAGCATCACCAGGCCTTGCCCACCCACTCAACCCACAGGCCCAGCCTCCTATCCTCTCCCACCCTACTCCGCGTCCTGTCACTGACCATCAAAGGGCATGTACTCTATGAAGCGCACATCCAGGGGCAGCCCCTCAGTCAAGGCCACAAAGTCCAGGAGTTCGTCCTCGTTCAGGCCTCGCATCACCACACAGTTCACCTGGCCAGGAGATAATGGGACCATGAAGGCCGCCCCCTGAATTCTTTGGGGGTCTTACAACTACCAAAGACCCTCCAATGAGGGACCCATTCCTTGCTTCTCCCCACCCAGGTCTCCTTAAGTTGGGAGATTCCATGGGATCGCTGATTTTCTCCCTTCTGTCTTGGGGAGGGGGGTAGGGCTGGATGTAGCAGGGAAAGAAATGCAAGGAGGTACACTGCAGCAGGCCTTGGCTGGGGATGCAGCAGCTGCAGCTGTCCAGCGGGCCAGCGGCTGGGGGGAAGGCCAAGCCAGTGTGGAGGAGGAGTCGGCAGCAGTGGCATGGCATGTCCTCACCTTCACAGGGCTGTAGCCCAGCTCGATGGCCTTGTGGATGCCCTCCATGACCTTGTGGAAGCCTGTGGGAGGGAGAGAGAAACAAGGATCCAGGAACTTCCTCCCTTCCCCTGTACCCACACCCCCACAGGGAAGCACCAGAGCTCAAAGAGCCTCAGAGACAACCTAGTCCGTGGGTCAGTAAACTTTCCTGTAACAGGCCAGAGAGTAAATACTTTAGGTTCTGCAGGCCAAGAAGCAAAACTTAAGGTACTATGTAGGTATATGCCACAAAGTGGTTTTTGACTAAATTCAAAATATAATAACTGACTATAGTTTTTTGTAATGCAGGTCTATAAATGGAATAAAGAATGAAATTTTTTTTGCAGGGATAATATTTTGCTTAATTAGGGTTGACAGTTATTGTTCCCTATCATTAGCTGATATTAATTGATGTTATCTGTAAAATACATTCTTAGCTCAAAGTCTGTAAAAAAATAAAAAACCAAAAAAACCCAAACAAACAAAAAAAAAACAGGAAGGGGACTAGATCTGGTCCATGGGCGATATTGTGCCGACCCCTGATCTAGCTGAACTCTCTCACAGTCTAGATGAGAAAACAGGCCCAGAGAGGGGCAGGGGCAGTGCCCTGCTCAAGGCTTCACACTCCCTCGTTTGGCTCACAGGTTTTCCAGCTCCCTTGTGCTTTCTCAACAGCCCGTTGTTTATTCACTTGACATATACTCTCTGAGCACCTACTACACATGGTGCTGTTCCAGGGCAGGTAAGTGATTATTATGAGTGCTGTTCTCACCTCTCTCTGCAGTTAACCCACAGTAAACGCGATCTCAGGCTGGCTTCTCCTCATCCTTCCCTAGCCCCCAGCCTGCACAGCCTGAGTGGTGGCTGTGATTCACAGCTGGGAGATCGCCCTGAGGGAGGGGGCCTGGTGGTGGCCTCCGTGGTCTCCTTGCAGCATTTTAGATTGCCCAGGGAGAAAGGGCAAAGGGAGCAATGTGCGGCTTTCATACAAAATGCTGCTCGAATAACCTACACCTAGAAGTTTTCTTCTCTGTAGCACTCCCCTCCAAAGGCAGGTGGCGGACACAGGAGTATGAAGGGGAGGGGAGATCTGAGGCTGGGATACACTGTCTCCAATCCGAATGCCGGGAAAGGAGAGAAGAGAAGGGAGGACATGTATGTGAGGGGTAGATTGCACCAACACACCTTCTCCTTTACCATCTCAAAGCCTTGGCAGGGTCTCTACTCACGTTCCTCCTCAGAGGAAGTTCCTTTGATCTCTCCCTGTTCCTCAAGGCCAGTATAAAGGCCTCCTCTATGAAGCCCTCCCTCTTCTCTACTACTAGGAATTCTCTCTCCCTCCCTGTAGCACTTTAATCCATACCACAAGACAAGCAAAGGTTGTCTCATGGGATTATATCTTTTGGCCCTTAGTAGCCTGTAAGGCCAGGCAACGTCTTCTATGTCTTCTGTCCCCTCCACAGCTCCTAGAGCAGCCCTTTATAGAGGGGGAGACTCTGTGAGTGCTTCCTCGGCACATGGAAGGATATAAGAAGGAGTAACACACCAGGGAAAGGGAGGAAAGAGGACGTGGGGCAGGGGGGCTGATTTTGAACCTATTTATAAAGAAGGAGCAGGAGAGCTGGATCTCCCTGGCATCCTTCTGATCCTCTAGAGACCTCAGTAATGTGCCACCCCCACTCCCCAAAATCAAAGCATATCCACCCCTGAAAAACCTTTGCCCAGTATGAGGCCCATGGCCCAAGAGAATCCGGGCACTGGCCTAATGAGCCGCAGAGCTCGAGGCTGTCTCTACCTGTCTTCCTCGGCCCTTCCCCAAGAGGCCATGCGAGAGGAAGGGGTGGATGTATTTGCAGCAGAAGTGAAGGGGAGGAGCTTATATCCACCTTGGCAAAGGGCCATGGGAGACTGCATGGGGACCCCACCTGGCAGTGCACATGCTGACCTTGGCATCTCAGGGAGGCCGTTTCCACTCTGGACTGTCCCACATTTCTTCAGAGCTCATTGGAGGGTGATCAACTTGGCCCAGTTTGCCAAGGACTTTCTTGGTTTTAAAACTGAAAGTCCTTCATTCTGGACACCCCCTCAGTCCTGAGCAAACTGGGGGTGGGGTGGGGGGTGACTTGTCACTCTAGTTCATTAGCATCTTATTAGGTCGTATGAGAACCCTTTTTGGCCACACCCCATCATGGCGCTGCCTACCCTTCTCTTCCACCTTTTCCTTCCCACCGGCGCCACAATACCTTCCCACTGGTGCGAAGCGTGCGCCAATCAGCACAGGCTCCCTGCTCCTGGCCCCTTAGCAACATAATCCATCCAATCCCCAAATGCCCCGTGTCACCTGTAAACCTATCAACTCTCTTCTAACCCTATAAAACAGATGTACTAGCTAAATAAAATCGGAACTTCTCCAGCGAGCTGCCTTGCGTTTGTGTCTCATCCTTTCATTGGTGCTGAAACCCAGGAGGTGGGATTGTCCACTGTGGGCCCCATCTCCATCTCAACCAAGGCGGCTCACCCTCATCCACCTTTTCAGGTGCTGGCTCTTCGCACTCACCACTGCTTCCACCCTTGGGTAAGTCTCCCTTATAGGGCTGCCACCCTCTTCTGGGCTACAGCGGAGCAGTTATCAACCAACAAGGCTCCGACACCCCTAAGAGATGTAAAGTTACACCCCATTAAGACCTTTACAGTCGTGGTGGACCCTCCGGCTATCCACTCCCTTACACCAGCTCCAGGAGCCTTTGAGCATGAGGGTTCAGGGTGGAGGCTCCTTTCTGCTTCTCTCTCTCTCTCTCTGGACGTTAAAACAGGTTACAAAAATCCTAGTACTAGATTCCTCGTGGCCTCCAGCACTGTGCCTCCTGGGAGCTTGAAGTGTGGGTGATGACCCTCACTCTCCTCCTAATCCAGTTCCTATAGAACCTCCGTGGCTCACAAACTCCTCGGGAGATGCCTCCTGGATTTTGCTGACCCACTTCCAGCCCGGGGATTCATTTCCTTGTTTTCTCTTTTTCTCTTCCTCTTGATTTCCTCATCTCTGTCCACTTCACAATGGGAGCCTCGTCATCCCTTCCGGAAACCTTGCCCCTCAAATGCTTACTCAGAAATCTTACTGTACTCTCCCTTACACCAGATATTAAGCCAAAGCTCTTGATCAGATTTTGCACTCAAGATTGGCCCCAGTACCCCCGGACAACCAAAACCATTGGCCTTTTGAGGGATCCCTAGACCCAGACCTCCTTTGCGATCTTTTTAACTATTGCCAGCGCCTCAAAAAGTGGAAAGAGATCCCCTATGTCGAGGCCTTTTGCCTCCTCAGACAAAATCCCCATCTTTGTTCTTCATGCTCTCCTTCCCAAGTCCTCCTGGCCTGTAAGTCTCCACCCCTTCTTGACCCTCCTACTTTCGATCCTGCAGACGAACCACCCACATACCGCCCGCCTCCCTCCGCTCCCACTTCCCCCTCCGCCTCAGTTTCCTCTCTGCCATCTTCCATTTCAGCTTCCCCTTCCACTCCAATTTCACAGCTGCCCCCCGTTTCCCCTCCTCCCGCAAAACCTTTCAGTCCTCCACGGACTAGATCACAGGGGCACTCTCCGGTCCCTCCCACTATTGCACTGCTTTGAGAGGTGGCTGGCCCAGAAGGGGTAATCAGAGTTCATGTACCTTTTTCCATCTCTGATCTCACACAATTAGAGAAGAATCTGGGCTCCTTTACCACTGACCCCACCACCTATGTTACGGAGTTTCAGTGGATCCTGCAGGCTTACAGTCTCACACACCATGACATATACATGTTGATAGCTAACACTCTCCTTCCTGAGGAGCGAAAGCGTGTATGGGAATTGGCCTGAGCCCATGCAGACGAAACACACAGGACTAATCCTAACCACCCTACAGGTCCCAATGCAGTTCCAGAACAGGATCCCCAATGGGATTATAACACCCCTATTGGCATAAATTCCCATGATGTTTTTGCTTCCTGCCTTGTAGCTGGCCTCAAACGGGCTGCTCGAAAAGTTGTACATTTCCAAAAGGTGCAGGAAGTAATACCGAAAAAGGAAGAAACCCCTTTGAATTTTTAGACAGGTTAACCAAGGCCCTTCAACAATATACCAATCTAGACCCAGAAACCCCAGATGGTTGTCATGTTTTAATGACCTATTTCCTAGCCCAGAGCTACCCCAACATTAGGGCTAAATTAAAAAAGCTAGAGCAGGGGCCCGCTACTCCTCAGACTGAAATTCTTACGGTGGCTTTTAAGGTTTCTCATAATAGAGAGGAGGAAAAGGAACACCATAAGAAGAGAGTTGATCAGGCAAATTTTCAGATGCTTGCACAAATAATCCAAGGAGAGCCGCAACCCAGGTGCCCACAAACCCATAAGCCACCCCCTGGAACCTGCTTTAAATGTGGAAAAGAGGGACATTGGGCAAAAGCCTGCCCCTCTCCTCGGCCTCCAACCACTCCCTGTCCCAAATGCCACAAAAGTGGCCATTGGGGATCTGACTGCCCTGCCACCCGAAGGGGAGAGGGGCCAATCACCCCACAATCTATGCCCAACCTGCTCGGACTAGCAGGAGAAGATTGATGGGGCTTGGGTCTCTGTTCCCAACCATGACCATCATGACACAGGAACCCAGGGTGTGGCTTGTGGTGGATGGGTGCCCCATTTCCTTCCTCTTAGACACCGGAGTCACTTTTTCAGTCCTGAGGGAGTTCTGGGGCCCAACTACACCTTCTACCTCTCCTACTGTCAGGATAGGAGGTAAACAGATTTTCCCTCGTAAAACCCCCCTATTAACATGCACAATGCAAGATGTTTCCACACCCTTCTCACACTCCTTCCTTGTCATGTCCCGATGTTCCATCCCTCTACTGGGAAGAGATATTCTCTCCCTTCTCAGGGTTACGATGAGCATCACCTCCCATGCCTCGCCTACCAGTCTTTTATAGCACTCCTGGCCAACGACTCGGACTCACGGCCTCCTTTTCCAACATTAACTGAGCCTGTCAACACAGTTGTCTGGGACATGTCAAGCCCCTCCACTGCAAAGTGTTCTCCAGTACACATTAGGCTTAAGGACCCCACTAAGTTTACCTCTAGCGCCAAGCTCCCAAGATATTTTTGCTTTCACTTGGACTGATCCTCACTCCCGACACTCCTGACAACTTACCTGGACTGTTCTCCCACAGGGATTTCGGGACAGTCCTCACATCTTTGGCCAGGTTTTAGCCCAGGATCTCACTGATTTTTATGCCAACCACCCCGATTCCACGCTTCTTCAGTATGTAGATGACCTTCTCTTGTGCAGCCCCTCGTGGGAGCAATCTCAAACAGATACCGCTCACCTATTAAATCACTTAGCTAATAAAGGATGTCGGGTCTCCCCACATAAAGCCCAAATTTCCCAGTCAACAGTAACCTACCTCGGCTTTCTCCTTTCCCCAGGAAAAAAGTCAATTATGCTTAACAGAAAACAACTTCTCATGGACCTTCCCATCCCCCAAACAAAGGCTGAAATATTGTCATTTTTGGGATTAGCTGGATACTTCAGAGCCTGGGTCTCAAATTATTCCCTTCTGGCCAGACCTCCGTATAACCTAACTAAGGGTCCCCCTGATGAACCCCTACTCTCCTCCCCCTGCCATCCCTTTTTAAAATTGCGACAGACCCTTGTACAGGCGCCGGCACTCCATCTCCCTGATCTCTCTAAACCTTTCTTCTTGTATGTCCATGAGAAGGGCAGACAGGCACTCGGGGTGTTGGGACAAAATTATGGATCCACCTTTGCTCCCATAGCATACCTTTCTAAGCAGTTAGATCCCACCGTCCATGGATGGGCACCCTGCATAAGGGGCCTAGCCACCGGACAGCTCTTTCAAAAGGAGGCATACAAATTAACTTTTGGGCCCCATTAACTATCCTTTCCCCCACCACTTAAAGGATCTCCTGACATACAAGG